TGGAGGCATCTTCCAACTTTTCCAACAATTCTAGCTGCATCATTTTTTTGAACATGGAACATAGTTGCATAGTATAGACAGTATCATAGGTTACAGCTCGTTGGACATAATATTGTGAGATCATAGCTATTTTTATGACATTTCCCACCACTCCCTTTTCAGCTAATAACTCAACGACTCCTAAGGGGGTAGTGCTACATATTTCACCACCAATAGAAATTGCGCTGGTATAAAAGAAATAAAGCGGCTGGCAAAACAATTCGAAGGATAGTGTACAAGTTAGTATAAATAAATTGCCACGCTGAGAGTAAATAATAACCATCAATACACACAAATTATATTGCATACAAACAAAAAAAAGTATGCATAAAGTCCAAGTGATGAAGAGAAGAAAAAAGATTCCGATATATAATGTATGGTATAGTGTAGAGATGGATGTATATCACCACGTCCTCTTGCAACCAGAGTGCACCAACACCGTACAAACAATGGACTCTTACCAGATCTAGTGGACTCTTATAATACTAAAAAGAGTCAAAAAGGCATGTGCTCAATGTAGATCTAGATGTAACCCCATCATTCCTCCATATTTCAGTTTGGGATCTCCTCCAATTTATCTCATATTATTCTGATGGTGTCAATCCTCCTCTGTGTCCGGCTCCTCAGAACATCACTGTGTACAGACAGGGAGACAGTCCACACGCTTCATCACCCTTCCCAGTGCTTAGCCCGCTCAACATGCTATATAGGCATCACAAAATATTTTTTCTGATTTTTGAAACTGCTGTGAATTTAACCCCAACAGAGCCTTCTCCAAACTTGGGGTAATAATTCTGACCAATATTGAAGCAATGAACTTAAAGGTTCGTTTCCAAAAATCTCTCCAGAAATCCTCTAAACTCTTAGGAATTATTTTAGCCATTGCTGGGATTTAATACCATCGAAGAAGAATCTTTTCTGCTAATTCCCAATGGGCAGTTCACTGTGATACTTTACAGGGCCAGGTTATTGAGTTATTGAGGATGTCCAGGAAGGCAGCGTCAGACTTGCAGGCATTTCAAGAAATCTTGGTAGAATAAACATAAGGTGCCATGCTTCCTCTAAATTCCCCAAAATCACATGTGAATAAAAAACAAATATTATATAAATGCTTCTTCTGCCTCAAACAATCCATTGCAGCTATATGTCTTCTTAAGATTAATCCTCCACCACAAACACCAGATATGCCCTCACCTAGAGTGTTTGACCTCACACAAAGTTTGGTCAAAAAACGAATGTGTCCCTTGATGTGGACATGTAATGCCAGGCATATCTTGTATACAGAATCTTCCTCCAGTGGTGAATGGTCCCTTTAATACCTCCTCCTTCACTCAGCATGCATATGTTGGATGGACGTAAATCCAAAATATCACCTTGTATACACATACAGATAGCCTCCACTTCCCTGATATGTCGTATTTGTGTATCGGCTGACCATGAGCATCATGACGTCATCAAGTCCCTCCCCAGGGGGGATGTTCATGGTCAGCAGATACACAGATATGACAGATCAGGGAAGTGGAGGCTATCTGTATGTGTATACGACATAAGATTTTGGATTTACATGCGCGTGATATCAGGTGCGATTGAGCACCTACACAATGTGAGTGGCCATTTTTATGTTTTTTTTTCAATAAAGCGTTGTTTTGAAAGGATAAAGCACTATTGTGTTTTACTAATTTTTTCCAACATATGCATGCTGAGAGAAGGAGGGGGTATTAAAGGAACTGTTTACCACTGGAAAATTCAAGATATATCCGGCATTACATGTCCACATCATACGACACACACGTTTTCTGACCAAACTTTGAGTGAGGGCAAAAACTCCAGGTGAGGGCACATCTGGTGTTTGTGGTGGAGGATTAATCTCAAGACATATAGCTATAATGGATTGCTTGAGGCAGAAAAAGCATCATAATTAAGAGACTTTGCAATTAGCATTGTTCACATTATTTATATTGTTTATATTCACATGTGATTTTTGGGAATTTAGAGGAAGCACGGCACCTAATGTTTATTCTATTTAGGTTGTGCACATGTTATGAGTATGTGTGTCAGTAGCCTTCTGGTTTGTAGTTATTCAGTTACGCTTACTGAAAAAGTTGATATAGTGTGGAAAATATTTACATTGGTTTTCTTTTTTTTTTTTGGCTGCTCGTGAGAATCACTTGGTTTTAACCACTTCCTGTCCGGACACTTTTACCCCCTTCCTGTCCAGGGCAATTTTCAGCTTTCAGTGCTATCACACTTTGAATGACAATTGTGCGGTCATGCAATACTGTACCCAGATGAATTTTTTACCATTTTTTTGAGACAGATAAAGCTTTATTTTGGTGGTATTTATTCACCGCTGGGATTTTTATTTTTTTTGCTATGTAAATGAAAATGTCCAAAAAATTTTTTAAAAAGTGTTTTTTCTTATAAAATTTTGCAAATAAATAATCTTTCATAATAAATTTTGACCAAAATTTATTCCATTATATTTTTAGTAAAAAAAAAAATAAGCCAAATTAGTTTATAACCAAAAATTATAATTTTTAAACATTTTTTTACATTTTTATTTTATTTTGTTATAATATTATTTATGGGTTTTTTTTGGGTTTTTTTTAACATACTGTCACCCTAGCAGTACAGTGTCACCATGGTGACACTGTACTACTTGTGGGGGTGATGAAGATTTTTTTGTTTTGTTTTTACAGTGATTGCTTTTACACCCATATAGGATGTAAAAGCAATCATTTCTCTTTCTCTCTGTCTGCATTCTTGCAGCCATTGAGAAATACTGAGTGAGCTGTGATTGGTCACACCTTGTCACATGGTACAAGGCTGTTGTGAATAGCCTTGTACCATGTGACCTCTGTGATCATTCACAGATTTCACACGTAGTAAGCAATGATGTCACAAATGACATCTTGCTTACTACTTTGCATGTGATCACTGATTGGCCTATCAGTTATCACATGATCGGGACCTCGTCCGACGATTGGTGTTTCACTGTGTCCAGAGGACACAGCGGGCACCGGATCGCGGTGCTGCGTGCTCCCAAGGAGCACGCACAGATAGAAAAGGCGGGTGCCGTTTATGAACGGCAACCCGCCCCTGGAGTGCCACCGCCCTGCCTGCAGGCGGACGACAAGAGGTTAAAGAAATCTTGGTGTTAAAGATTATGATTACATTGTAAAGATTTAAAAGATGTGAGAATAACATCTTGATAGGAGGTCTCCATTTTGCTCCATTTCCACTTCTTTCTAAACAATTTCATTAAAATTTGGGATAACAGGAGACCATACTAGGATAGGTAGGTTATAGATTCATTTCAGAGATGCAGGTATGTGGACTCATGTTTCCAGAAGTGTTTCATTTGGTTTAAGATAGTGGATTTCACGGCCCGGAAACAGGTTTGGAAACCAGTAGCTAAACAGTCAAGAGATTCCCACCAACCAGCAGGATAAATACATGAGCAAATCACCCTAGCAGATGATGCAGGCTTACCTGAGATGTGGGGTTAAAGCACTAGAGGATATTCACCATAGCTCCTGATGGTGGAGATGGGTTTTACTGCATACCACAAGGTGAGCAAGCAGGGGTCTGGTTGCAGATGTAGCTGGTAGGGAACAAGCAGAAGTGTAGTCAGTAATAAGCCAAAAGTCGGCAACAAGTGGTTACAGGTTGGAATTAGGCAGAAACATAGTTGAGGTCATTAACAAATGGTTGCAGGTTGGGATCAAGTGGAAGCATAGTTGAGGAACAAGCCAAAGTCAGTTATGAGTGGTAGCGAAGACATGGATGGTAGCAGGAGTGAAAGGAGGTGCAAAGGCATGGCTTAAATAAGACGTTCATGGGAGAAGGAAAGGGTTCAAGAGAAAAAAGACATAAGGCACAGTTGTCTAAACAATCAGGCAGGGAGATGTCCAGCATGTCACATGGCTCAGCAAAAAGAGTTACTGCCAGACACAGCAGAGATCCTAGGTTCAAATCCAGTCCCTGACAGTGGCTTTAGTAATTTGGGATATAAAACTTTATTTTATACAGCACCTTTAAAGGTAGCTTCTCAAAGCGCTTTACAAAGACAAGAGAACCAAAAACACAAGCATTATTCAGGGTAAAACAAGAAAAAGGGACAATTATGTGAAAGCTTGTCTATAGAAAAATGTTTTTAGATTTAATTTGAATTTAGATTTTGATTTGAGCTTAGAGAAGTTGACTCTGTGATGTTCTTTGGAAGTGAATTTCAGAGTTTTGGGGCATAGCAGGAGAAGGATCTGTCTTCAATCAAGTGTAGGTTAGTAGGAGGAACACACAGAAGACCAGAATTTGAAGAGCAGAGGTTACAAGGGAGGGAGAAAGTTGATAACAGTACAGACAGATAATGAGGTGCCAAACCATGAAGAGACTTATAGGTAAGCAAGAGCAGTACACCAGCGAGTAGAGAATTGCAATAGTCAAGTCAGGAGAATACAAATGTATGGATCAGCTTTTCAGCTACAGTGTATGATAACATAGGACGCAGTCACGCAATGTTTCAAGTGGAAAAAAGATGTGACAACTTTGACAAGATTTTTCAATCTAAACTGAAGCTCAGTTACAGTGCCATTTGCAGATAGGCTACCAGGTTTTAATAATCTATCAATGGTGCAGAAGGGTTATCTAGAGATGCTAAGATTTTTTTCAATGGCATGGGAGAAATAGTTGGATCTAGCAGACCCAATTTGACTCTTATAGTCACACAAATGGTCCTTCCAAAGCTGATAATGAAGAGTCAGGCCAGTACGGCACCATCTACTCTCAAGTTTTTGAAAGACTGCCTTCTTTGATCACAGATGGTCATTAAACCATGGAGCCGGAAAGGAAAATTAATTTTTTATGGAGCAAAGGTGTCAAGGGAATGTGAAAGCACATGATTAAGGACATCTATTTTGTCAACAAGGGTGTCAGAAAAAAAGATGCAGGATATAGAGGAAGAAACAGAATGTGAAAATATTGGGCTGATTAATAGATGCCCAGTTGTGATAATTTACAGACTGAGACAAGGTGTTAGAAACAGCTAAATCCAGATTGAAAAGAACAGCTAGAAGATGTAAATGTAGAAAAGCAGAGGAAAATGTATAGATTAATTCACGAAAATATAAATATGTGGGAGGTAGAAATGAACTATAAATGTATGGCAAGATGGTATATCACACTGAGTGTGGCACACAGATTGAGTGGAGATAATTCACCTTTGTGTTGGAGGGTACATGGAGGTAGAGGCACTATGTATCACATATGGTGGGAGTGTCCTAGAATACAGGAGTACTGGGAGAAAATATTGAATTTAATTCGGAAAATTACAGAAGTTGATATAATATTAGATCCAGAGACTTGCCTTTTCCATAGTACCAAGTTCTCAGTCAAAAAGTATAAGAAAAATCTGGTGTATTGTATTATTTTTTGAATGTATCAAAGGGCTTGATACCCAAGTTTTGGCGGAGACAGGAGGTGCTGAAAATAGAGGACTGGATTGATAGGGTGGATCAAATATGTAAGATGGAGGAACTATACCATATGAACGAGGATAAGATGGAGAGTTATTATTTAAGATGGAACAAATGGAAGGATTTAAAAAAATTAAAAAGTCAAAGTTAAATATAGAATGTATGGGGATAATATAATATAAAACAATATGGTTATACTTTTTTCTTCTCTATGGAGGATTTGGATCTCCAGAAAGGAATAGGAAAAGGCAGAGCGGAGGCGGTGGGATGGGATGTGGATGGGATGTAGATGGGAGGGGCGGGGGGGCAGAAAAGGTGATACGATAAATGTATTGAAAATATGTCAATGTTTTTAAAAGAGTATGTTTGTATAATTTATCTATTTAAAAATCAATAAACATTTAAAGAAAAAAGAAAATAACAGCTAGGTGGTCAGACAGTCCTAAGTCATGGGAAGAGCAGTCAGAGACTAAAGAGTTATTAGCAATTATAAGGTCCAGGGTGTGTCCTGTATGGGGTTGCAAAAAAATTCAGTTAGGTCAAAGCATCCCAGCAAACCTAGAAAATCTTTACCTAAACTGGAAGACCCTGAGTCAAAGTGTACAGTGGTGTATTTAGGTTTTGTGCTGCCCTAGAAAACACAAAAATCAGAGCCCCCCCCCCCCCTCTCCCCAGCAGAGAGAGCCTGACATCGACCAACACCAGCCCGCCCGCAGAGAGAGCCTGACAGTGACCAGCAACACCCCTGCCCCATCCTTCCCACCCAAGAGAGCCTTCCACTAACACCCCCCCCAGAGAGAAAGACACTCACCTTCACAGCTCTGGACATCCTCAGGAATGGCAGTCAGGCTCTGCATACACCATCAAGCAGCCCACAGACTCTCTCGGATCCCACTTGGTCTCCATGCAGCATATGTCCCTTCTTCCAGGGGGCAGTGATGCCCTCCTAAATAATGCCACCCTAGGCCAATGCCTTTTTTGCCTTGTGGTAAATACTCCCCTGGATGTGTATTATAAATCCCCCAAGGATAAGTATTCTCTTAAAACTAAGGCATAAAAACGAAAGCAGGTCAGCAAATTCACCTAAGAAAGCTTCACAAGACTTGGGTGGTCGGTTAACAGTAGAAATAACAGAGCCGTGGGAAACACAAAGCTTGAGAACAAAGTAAAGGAAGAAAAAGAGTGTACATTAACAGGGGATAAACTGTAGAACAAGCTGTAAATAACAATTGTACCTCTCTATTTGCCCAAGACACATAGGAGGTCAAACAATCTGTACCCTGGGAGGGTGAGTTGGTTGACAAGGGTGCCATCATTTTGTTTGTGCCAGGTTTCAGTTAAGCACAGAAAATAAAGTCAGATATACTGTAAGTAGTGCCTTGTTATTAGTGGAGCGAATGATCAGAACTGCTTTTCTGGCCTTTCTTGGAGGATAAGAGGGAATCAGAATGGAGTCAAGGCAAATCGGTGAAAGTCGGCTTTTGAGGTCAGCGTCAGTGCAGGATGGTCTTGCAGCCTTGTGCTGATAAGCAGGGATAGAGACAGCACAGGTACCTGAAAGGAGAAGATGACATCCAGGGCCACAATGCATGTATCTCTTTGGTTGTAAAATCCCAATATATTATGGCAGAGATCATATACAAAATAATTCTGTTTCAGTTGCAGGGGTTGCAGTGCAGTGTACCTGAGCAGCATGACTGAGGGATCCAGGTATAGTAGAAGAAAAAAATATCCAGCTATTCACAATGCAATGCAAGGAAAGAGGTCAAGTGCAATGCAAGAAAGAGGTCCAGTGATCCAGGAAAGATTAAGAGGTGAGTCAACTGGGGAAGATTGTGAAACAGGGAGTAGTCACTTATAAAGAAACAATCCCAGAAATCAAAGAACTTAATCCAGGGAATCAAAAAATCCAAAAAATCAATCCTAGTAATCAGAATTTGAATTTCAGAGATTGAAATCAGAGTTGAAACTGGTTGCAAAGACCAAAGGTTTTAATGCATGAAGGTAAAACACTTCTGTGTGCTGTTCCCCCCACAGCCCCCCCAATACTCAATGGAGCCCCCTTTCAATCCAGCAATGTGCATGGGAGCCTTGGATGTCCTGGGTCTCTTTAGTCAGCGGCTGAGACACAACAGCAGGAGCCATTGGCTCCCAGTGCTGTCAATCACAGCCAGTGAACCAAAGAGGAGAGAGCAGGGGGCGGGGCCAAGCCGCAGCTCTAAGTGTCCTATGGACGCATAGACTGGGGTCGGGAACAAGCACACAACAGTGCCCCCATAGCAAACGCCTTACTATTGGGGGCACTAGTCAAGGGGGAGGAGCCAAGGTGGCTGTGGGGACCCAAGAAGAAGAAGAAGAGTTCAAAAACCACTGCACAGAGCAGGTAAGTATGACATGTTTGTTATTTAAAAAACATTGCACAGAGCAGGAACTGTAAGTATGATATTTATGCTATTAAAAAAAACGTTTAATATCACATCAAGAAAAAAGTTGAAAAAGTTCCCTGCACAACCAGGAGGAGAGCTAGGAAAGCTCCTTCTAGCTCAGAAGTAAGGGACCCAAGGGATGTTTAGAAGCACCCAAGAAAACAACTTTTTTTTGTGCCCTGTTCACACCACAATGCTGGTTTAATGTGTAGTGCGGAACAGTGCAGAAAAAATTACTTGCTGCATTTTTCCCCTTCACAGCGGATGGCAATGCATTTCACCATGCTGCAGGACAAAGCATCACACTGCTGTACAGAGACATGAAGTGTCATTATGTGACACTTCCAATAAAGTTAAGAAAAAGTAAACAATGTGATGAGCTGAAACACGCATCACACTGCACCCTGCAGAACTTACACTGACAGCTGCCCACATGGTAAAACTCTGTAAGCTAGCGTGAACAAGCCCTTAAAGTGTTACTAAACCCAAAACCCTGCATTCATTATATCTGGTCTCCTACAGTACACAGAACATGGAAATGTGATTATTTTAGTAAAGATAAACTGCTAAATACCTTTTCTCATCAGCAGTATATAGCAGTCTTGTGACTTCTATCAGTGTCCAGCTGAGCACTGGTAAAGCTTGTAGGGGTGAATTTCATTCTACTCTGACTGTCCTATGAGGCTGCAGGACCCCTGACCCTCTATCTGGACAGCGTTGATTGGCCCTGTGCTGATCACATGCATCCTCCCAAGAAAAAAAAAACTCTCTAGCAATACACACCAAACTGAGCATGTGCAGAGTGCCCCAAGACTCTGTTCTATCAGCAGATGGAGTGGGGACATTAGAGGAAGGGGAGGATCAGAGAAGTCAGGAGCAAACATTCTTTTTACACAATGCAGAGGAATAACCCCTCAGGTTCCAGAGCGAGTATAACAAGCATGCATTACTGCATATACAGACTGATTTTACTGTTGTGGATTTCGTAACACTCTCAAAGTGGTTGTAAATCTATTTTTTGCATGTAGGTATCAAACTTTCTGTGTTCTGCTTCCCCCAGTGCCTCCCCATCGCCTACATCTCTGTGTAACAAGGATATGCTAAACATTGTCTCTGAAAAAAATGAGTCTCTGAGCAAAAAATTGTATATGACACAGAATAAAATAAGAGTGGTCAGATGTACATCTGGGCACAATTTTTTTGTTTTCTTCTGTTAGTATATAAAAAATCCTCTGTAGAAATACAATATACAGTACATTCCCTTTAACTATTCAACAATATTAGGTAAAGGAAACCTTTCTGAATAAACAGACAGGCGGCCATTGCTGATTTCTAACTCTAAAAAACGTTGTTTGCTAGCTGTTGTGCGGACCTTCCCTTCATTACCATGGGAATTTTAAAGGGGATGGGAGCTAATAAGACATCTACTTTGAATACCCAATCACATTCTAACAAAAAACCTTTTTTATCAAAATTTATTTTTTAAGGCAGTAGACAGTCACATTTCGTATCACCATAAAAAAAATCAGGTTCATAAAAAAACTGCAATTCACTTTCAACATTTATAATATATATATTTTTTAATTGTCTCCTGCCCAAGACTAAACAACCGATTGGCCAACCTTCACTTTGCAATATACACTATATTGCCAAAAGTATTGGGCCAACCCTCCAAATCATGTGATTCAGGTGTTCCAATCACCTCCATTGCCACAGATGTAAAAAAATCAAGCACCTAGGCATGCAGACTGCTTCTACAAACATTTGTGAAAGAATGGGTCGCTCTCATGAGCTCAGTGAATTCAAGCATGGTCCCGTGATAGGTTGCCACCTGTGCAATAAATCCATCTGTGACATTTCCTCGCTACTAAATATTCCACGGTCAGCTGTTAGTGGTATTATAACAAAGTGGAAGCAACCGGGGAACAACAGCAACTCAGCCACGACGTGGTAGGCCACGTAAAATATATATATATATATATATACAGTTGTGACCAAAATTATTCAACCCCCAATTGCTGTAAAGGGGTTTAGGGACTATAGTGTACATTTGGAATTGTATTCAGAATCAAATCCTACAAGGACGTTGTAACTACAATGCAACTAAAATGACATCAATTGTTTATGTAATACAGTAGTAAATGGTTCTTATGTGGTTTCTTCATTGCCACAATTATTCAACCCCTTAAAGACTACCACTCTGAAGAACAGAGGTTCATACAGGTGCTTTCCATCAGGTATTGAAAACACCTGTGGATGTCACCGAGCAGCAATCAAGCATAATAAAGCACCAATTAGGCAGCTTTAAAATGACTGTGATACTCAGCTCCTTCTAGACATTTACTGGTGTGGTTACAAACATGGTGAAGGCAAGAGAATGGTCCAGGAAGACAAGAGAAGAGGTGATTTCTCTTCACAGGAAGGGCAATGGCTATAAGAAGATTGCAAAGATGTTAAACATACCAAGAGACACCTTAGGAATGCATCATTCGCAAATTCAAGGCAAAGGGCACTGTTGA